TTTTTCCGCGATAGGGTGCGTGCGCTCACCAGACAGACAGAGAGAGACATAGAGACAGAAAGCGAGAAATCACCCCCCAGGGGGGATGGTCACACCACAATCCCTTCTCCTCCATTCTTCTCTCGGGATCTTGGGCACGCATGCACACGCGCCCGGCGTGAGTTTTAAGCCACTGGATCCGGGACGTGAACCGCGGTCGACTACGTGGGAGTCCAGCGACATAGCCATTATGCTAACTGCTGGTTCCCTCTAATTCTTATCAAATGGGAGAAATGTCACATCCTGAAGACACTAAGCTTTTTTACTATTGTTTGTTTTTTAAAATACCATTTTTAGATTGGGGCTAGCAGGTGGTGTAGGCGGTTCGAGTCCCGGACTCAGCGGCTTAAAACTCATGCTGGGCCCACGCGTGTGTGCGTGCTTGTGTGTATATACCCAAAATATTGAGAGAAGAATAGAGAAGGGATTGTGGTGTGGCCATTCTACATAGGAAGTAATTTTTCACTTTCCCTCTCACTGTCTTTTTCTGTCTTTCTCGGGTGGTCCCATGCCCTGTGGCAAAAAAACAGTAAATAAATGAATGAATGAATAAATGAGTGGGCCCATGCCCTGTGGAAAAAACCTATAAACAAATAAACAGTGTCCTTTTTAGATGAGAGGCTCTGAGTTACATAAAGAGTTTTTTCCATAACAGTTTTATTGAAAACGTAGATGCAATTTTCATGGTGTTTAAAGAAGACCTAAATGGTCTTCTTTAAAAATTAAAGGTATGACCCAAAGTGTAGGCCAGTGAAAATGAGTGGGAAAGGACCAAGCTGTGGAAATCCTTTACTGGATTAATTAGCCTTACTGGATTCCAGGACAGAACAATAAATTCCTAGATTAGTGTTCTCGAAACTCAGTACTGCAGTCTACTTTGGGCCATGATCAGTCAGCACCTTCCCCAGTGGTAGTTATTTTTCTGCAAGTCACCAGTTTAGTCTTACTCAGTAAGAAATGGAATCATGTAAAGTGTCTTGTGTCCAGCTTCTTCCACTCAGCCTGTCTATGGGATTCATCCTGTTGTCAGTGTATCAATTTTTCATTCATTTTTATTGCTCTGCAGTTTTCTCTGTTATGTGAACATAACACTTATTTTGTATTCTTGGATATTTAGGTTCTTTCCAGTTGTTGACTATAAGCTTATGTGAACATCCTTGCGTGTGTGTTTTGACAGATACACAAACTCTTTTCTCTTGGAAATACATAGAGGGTTAGAATTGCTGAGATGTGGGGGCCAGTAGGTGGCATGGTGGCTAAGGCAGCTAGATTCCCACATGGCCTACTGTGGTTCAAGTCCTGGACCTGGCAGCTTGCTTTCTCTCTCTCTTTCTAGTGAGCACACATGCCCTGTAGCAAAAATAATAAAGAAAGAAAGAATTGCTGAGATGTAGGGTAGATGCATGTTTATATGTAGGTGAACGCTGCCCAGCAGTTTTTTTAAAATATGATCAGTTATTTAATTAGGTTCTTGGCCAAAAATTTAGAACACCAGTTTGTGAGGACAAACTCCTGCAAAAACGGACCACAGGTAGCGCTGCAGCTGAGGAACAGCTTTGATTTCTGGTAAAATTTGCGAGTCCACAGCTTTCTGATCAACCTTGCGCTGCTCTGAAATCTCGTATTTCTCCTTCTCTGTGTCGAAGATCTCACTTTCCTGGTGTCTTCTGGGCTTCCGCAGTTTCTTTTTCTTGAAGTAAGCATCGGTAAGGTGCTTTGGGATTTTTACTTTGCTAATATCAATTTTCGTGGAGGTGGCAATGACAAATTTCTGGTGTGTTCTGCACAGTGGAACTCAATTGAGAACCAGTGGTCCAGTTACAAGTAGCAAGCCACTGCTCAGCTGCTTCAGGAAAACCACTCTCTTGCCTCTGTGGCATCCAGTGAGGATGATCAGAATGGTCCCAGGAGTGATGCTAGCTCGCAGCTTTCTCACATGCTGACTGAAGGGTTTTTTGCCGTGGCTCAACAGCTTTTGAGGCACATCGTCAGGATAATACCTAGGCATTTTGCGCAGTTTAACCACCTGGGTACCACCATTCTTGTCTCCACCAACCGGTTTTGTGACAGTCACAAGAACCTTCTCCTTTTTCTTTTCGATCCTGGATTTAGTGGCCGAGTATTTCCTCTTGTACATGGCCTTCCTGGAATACATGGCAGACTGGAAGTATCTGCTGATGCCCCGGACTAGGACGGGGTTTCAGCTGCAATGGGACTTCCCCTTCTTGGGCTTTTTAGCCTCGGGGTCATCCTTTTATACCTTGCCACTGCCTTCAGGTTTCTTCTCCTTAGTATCCTGCTTTGCAGCTTTTTCACCTGCCATCTTGTATAGTAAGAAAGCTGCCCGACAGTTTTCTGATGTGGTTGGTGTGTTATCTGGTAAAGATTTTCTTTAGGGGGGCTGGCAGGGGGCGTGGGGATTAAGGGCACTGGACCCCCACATGGCCTCTTGCAGTTCGAGTCCTGGACCTGGCAGCTTGCTTTTTCAGTGTCTCTCTCTCTCTCATTCTGTCCCTCTCTGGTCAAATAAAAATAAATAAATAAATAAAGTTAAATAAAAAATAATTTTAAAAAATTTCCTTTAGGCCCCACTGTGGTGGTACATGTATGATGCCTCTGTTGCATGATGGCTGAGGCCCGGGTTTGGTTCCCGGCCCAACCTCAGCAGGCCGAGTGCAACTGTGGTCCTGGCTGACCGGGAGGCCAGATCATGACATGACAAGACTCTGTCCAAGCTACTTAATCTCTGTCTCTCCTGCATGTGTTTCTCTCTCTCTTTCTCTCTCTGGGAAAAAATAAAATAAAGATAACCTTCAATTTGGGAGTGATCTGAAGCTATTCAGGTAGCACCTTGTACAGGTACGGACGCGCTTATGTCTTACGGTGGCTTGTGAGGAAGACAGTAAAGAGTCATGTGTCTTGCTTTTTCTCCTTTCTAGCATCAGTTCCTGAAGATTGCCAAGCCTCTCTCCAGCCTGACACCACTGATTGCCGCAGCAAAGGAGGCAACCAAGAACAATCACTAGAACCACGCTCACCCAGCCTCATTGTGCCAAGCCTTCTGTGAAACAAATGCTCGTTTCAGAAATTCCAACCCCTGGCGCCCTCTTCTCCTTGCCTTGCTTCTCATGTTTCCAATCAAGCACTCTGAAGACTTTGATCCTTAGAAACTACGTGTCCACCATTGAAGAGAATTGCAACTGGATGTTAATCAGATGGTGGCACTTCTACTTTGAGTTTCCTCCTAATTTGTGGATGTAAGGGTGGTTTATGGTCGAAGGTTTAGCTGAGTAAGCCATTGGAATCTCTACTCCCCTCACGCCCCACCCCCAACAATCAGTTGTTAACTGTCTAAATTTATGATTCGATGATGTTATCAATTTGTAATCATTTGAGATTTCTTTAGTGCCTGCTTCTCTGTGACTGAACTGCCCAAACACCTCATTGTACTTAAAAAACTGGAATAGTTTGGGAATGCCATGGGGCTTGATAATCTGCCAAGACATGAAGTAACTCAGCTTCTTGGACCATCACTTCGGTGCAGCTGATCCTGACATGGGAGAACAAGCACGTTTTCTTTGTGTGTGCTCTCAGCAGCTATCCGGGAGGACGTGACCACCCAGTAGTATTCCCCATGCTATTTCTTATGAAGTGGTCTTGGCTGTGTAGCACCTTTTGATTCCCTGCATCCCCTAGGCTGCTGCTCCCATGCTGTCCTTGTTAACATTGAGAGGGTTCCTAGGCACGAGCTCAGTGAGAGCAGTGTAGCACTCTCTGGAAGGGAAGAAAGTGTAGCTTCTTTTAGAGCAAGGCTGGGCTCCCCGTCCAGCTAGCTGTACTTGTGCGGTTTCAAGGACTCAGCCTCTTTTCCACCTGAAATAAGCTGAAAGATGAACTCAGCTCTTCTGATGGCCTGAATCTTTGGATCCAAGGAAACAATCTCCAGATCAGAGACTCTGTTAGTTCTGGATGGATTTGGTGGCCTGAGGTGATACCCTGCCAGCTGAAAGGGGACCCTGTTTTTAAGATGCATGGCCAAGCTCTCTGCAAATGGAAATGCTTACACTGGGTGTGGGGGATATTTGCTACCTCCTGCTATCTTTTTGTGTCCCCCCCCCCCCCCCCCCCCCCCAGCCAGCATTGTGACTTGTCACGTCAGCCCCGTTGACTACCTTGTCATGCTCAGGGGACCATGGCCTCTGCAGCACAAGTTTCTATTTCCTTCAATAAAGGGAGATGAAAATAATCCTACTTGGAGTGTGCCTTTCTTCTCTTCATTGGTTCCTCTTTCATTTCTCATTTTTTAAAATATGAAATAATGGTTCTTCCTGAACCATTTAAGAGTAAGTTATAGATAGGATGTCCCTTTACCCCTATGTACTTCAACATGTGGGCTTTCAACACTAAATATAAATTAATGAAGACAGACGGGCCCAAAACACTTGTACTATTTAAAGAAGAATTATAAATACGTATGTATCCACCACCCACATCAAGAAATGGAATGCCGTCAGTGCCCAGAGCGCCCCGTCTTGGCAACCCTTTCTCTTTTCACCCCACTGCGGGAGGCAGCCACTCTCCCGACTTTCTTGCACTCCGCTTCTTGCTTCTCTCTATACTTCGACCACATTCATACGTACCCGAGAACTGTTTAGTTCTCCCAGCTTTCGAACTTTAAATAAACATCATAATTGATACCTTATTTTCTGCCTGTTCTTTATTTCCACTCAAGATGATGTCTTTAAGATACACATACGTAGTTGTGTGTAGCTGCAGTTCATTTACTGCTGCTGCCATTAGCACTTAGGAAAGTTCTAACTTGTGTAAGACTAATTTCCTAAGGACTGGTTTCCCAAAGGAGTTGCCTTTTTCATTCCAGTACCATATTTCCATGTATGCACATGAGAGGAAGAGAGGACATTCCTCCAAGTAGGCTGGTCACACTGCAATTCCTTTTCTTCTAATTCTCCATTCTGTCAGGATCCTTGGCATGTATCTTATGCCTAGCATGTTTTTTTTTTTTCTAAGCCACAGGGCCATGACTTGAACCTTGGTCATCCATGTAGGATCCAGCTCCCTCTGTACAGCACTTAGCCACTGCGCCATGGGACTGGCCTGAGAGTTGGCTTTCTGTAGAGCCCTGTTGAATTGACAACAGCCAAATGCTAAAGGCAAGACTGGTAGAATTTCCAGGTAGGTAATCAGGCTGCAGGTCTGTCATATCACACAGCTAAAGCCATAAGGTTTGAGTGCAGGTATGGCCTTGCCAAAGAAAGTGCTTTTCTAAGGTGCTGCAGTGGAGCTAGAGGCCACTGTTGTGTGGCACTATTACAGATCCCAGCACCAAATCACACTAGAGGATACTAATGCTTCCTAGGTATGGAAATGACAGTCCCCATGGCTCAATGTGGAGCTCTTCTCCCACAGAATGACACATGAGCCTTGCTAGATCTCTGTCTGCCCCAGGAGGTGGCAGGCATTGGAGTCTCCACACAATATCACTCCTGTGTACCCATGAGTTACCACCAGTAATCTAGGTCCTAGGAGGCCTGGGGTTTATGTTGTCTCATAAGCTGCCCTTGGTGCAGTAACAAACCACAGAATCAGAGAACCAAGACTCACTTCGGGTGGGAAAATGCCTGCCTGGGACAGACACCTGACCAGCCATCCTCAAGGACTCAGGCTATGAGACACTGGTTGCAAGAACAAAACCTGCCAAGCTGAGAATCTTGGGACTAAATGGTGGCACAGTGGTAAATGACACTCTGCCAGGCAATCCCACATGAGAAGTTCCTGGTTCAAGTCCAGAAACCTCCCTTACTGTGCTCAGTACACACTTGCCCATGAGCTGGGAGGCAGAAGACTGGAGGCGGATCATTGTGTTGGTAGCTTGTTGTGCTGTTTCTCTTTCTCTGAAGAAATTAAGGGAAAAAAAAGTTATATTCCAGCGAATGGAGATCTAGCAGTAGATGATATCACCTAGATGTTATTCCGGGGTTTTCAGTAGTCTTGGAGTCATCAGAAGACTTCTACTGAAGGGAAGGCTGAGCTACTGGCTCCTCTAATTAAGGTCCCGAGAATTTTTAAAGTAGATGCTTTGTGAATCAGAGAGCCAGGCTGGGAGTGGGGAGTTAATGATCAGCTCTTCAGGGGTAGAAGTCTATGATGGTTACTAATGACCCTGGAGAAAGTCTCCCAGAAGGGGCGAACTCCATTGAAGGGCATGGCTGACCCAGTACTCATGAACTGAAAGCCCCACTGTGTGGAATGTGTACTCTGATGACATGCCCCTTGGGTAAAGAATGGGTATGACCTTCTCTGAGCAGAGCCAATCAAATGTGTCTTTCCCCAACTGTGAGGAGCAGCCTGAAAGGTCACAGTGTTACTAAGGTGTTGCTTTAGTAAAACAGGAGCAACGATGAGGAATGTCTAAATTGCTGGTCTCTGTGAGATATATCCAAGAGGACTTTAAGAAGTTCGTGGAAGGGCCAGCAGGTGGCGTTGTGGTTAAGGACACTGAACTCCCACATGGCTGACCACAGTTTGAGGCCTGAACCTGGCAGCTTGCTTTCTCATTTTCTCTCTCTCTCTCGCTCACACTCTGTCCTTCTCTAGTAAAATTAAAATAAATAATAAAGTTCAATAAAATAAAAATAGTTCATGGAAAAATGAAAGCACAAATTTATTTTGGTGCAAAAAAATGAAAGGCATGTATAGTTTTTTCATAATACACATTTTTCATGAACTTTAAGAAGATCCCTTGTATAGAAAGAGATTTAGCATAAAGTACTGGCTCATGGTCTGCTGTCTGCAGGCTGGAGACCCAGCACGGCTCGTGATGTAATTCAAAGACCTGAGAGCAGGGATTCCAGCCTCTGGAGGCCTGAGAACAGAAAGCATTGTGGGCAGGAGAAGACCAATGTCCTCAGCTCAATCGGCTGGGCAGAGCAAGTTCCACCTTCCTTTGCCTTTTTCTGTTTAGACCCTCCACAGGATGGGTGATATGCATCCGTAGTGGGGAAGGCTATCTACTTTATTCAGTTCACCAACTCAAATGCTAGTCTCTTCTGGAAACACCCTCACAGACACACTTAAAAATAATGTTTAACCAGCTATTTGGGCATCCTGTGTGATGATGCAGCCAAGTTGACACATTAAATTAGCCATCACTCTCCTGATCTCCGTCTTTAAGTGGAGAGTCTACAGCTTTCATATGGTGATGACTTTTAGAGCAAGGAATCAAAAGCGATGAGACTGGTGAATGCCAATATTGTCTATGGAAAAGCGTACAAAGGCATGGGAGTTCCTCGGTGCAGTTGTTGGAAAGACAGGTAGTGACAGGACTGACGGCTTATGAGACGGAATACCAGCTGACGGTAGAGCTCATCCAGAAGCCGTAAGAGACCCCAAAGGTTGTACCTCTTACTTTCAGATTCTAATACTGAACCACAGGGCATATGGGTCTTCAGCTTTTTCAGATAATGGGTAAGGATTTCTCCAAGAGATTGTATCCATTTACATGTGCCACTGATGTGGGAGTACACATCGCTCAACCAAGTGTTTTGTAACATTTCGCTGTGCTTTTACTCTTTTGTGAAGTGCCTTTTCAAAGCTTTCTTCATTGAGTCTACTTTGTCATCTTTTTTGTAGTTTTTAGTCAAAATTAATATATTTTAGATAATTATCCTTTCTCATTTATGCATTCTAAAATCTTTTACTTTGTTGCTTAAAAAAAAACCCTAAATTTTTATTTGAAGATAAATATAGATTCCCACGTAAGAAATAACAGGGCTGACTTGGTGCAGTGGTAATGAGCTGCTCAAGTGATGGATCCTGGATTTATACAGATGATCGTGTGCAGGTTCGATTCCCAGGCTGACCTGGGGACCTACAATCCTGGCTGGCTGGGAAGGCTGAGAGTTTGGGGGTGGGGGAGATTGCGGCAGGAATCCCTGTAAGAGTGCTTCTGCCTGTCTCTTCGTCTCATGAAAGGAAGAAGTAAACTTCACAACAACAACAAAAGGAATGCAGAGAGCCCACCAATGGGAGTTCCACGATGGTAATGCTTTTATCAGTTTCTTCCAAACGTAGCACCTTGCAAAACTAGAGTCCAACATCGTAACCACAGTATTGACACTGATGCACCAAGAAACAGCATTTCCATCCTCACCAACCAGGATCTCTCATCTTGCCCTTTTCTAGCCACTCCTACTTCTCTCCTGCCCCACCCCTCCTTATGTTCGGTATGTCCTTCTACATGCTTTGTTATTTTGCTCTTCTCTAGGTCCTTGAACTCTAAGCTTAGAGTATTGATTTGAGACTATTCCTTTTCTCTCTCTCTCTCTTTTATAAAATTTGCTAGAGGACGCATGTGCTTGTCAGACAGAGAGGGAGAAATCACCCTCAGTGGGGTGTGGTCACACTGAAATCCTTCATTTTTCCATCCTGCTGGGATTCGAAGTATGCACATGCAGTTGTTAATTTTGAAGCCACTGGGGCTGGGATTCTAACCAGAGGATCAGCCATGTGGGATCCAACTCCCTTAACCACTATCCCTGGCCGGCCTTCATTGTTGTTGTTTAACAGCCAAGTTTAAAGCTTCCCACAAAGATATATTGAATACTTAAGTTTTTGAAATAAGAATGTTATAATTAGGGGCCAGCTGGTGGAGTGGTGGTGAAGGCAGCTGTATTCCATGTTGCCGACTGTGCTGTTCTAGTCCTGGACCCAGCAGCTTGAAAAACACATGAAGTGGGACCAGTAGATGGTGTAATGATTATGTCATTGGACTTCCACATGGCCAACTGCAATTCAAAACCCAGACCCAGAGGCTTGAACCTCATGCCGAGAGCATGTGTGTGTGTGCCCCGAATCCCAAGAGTAGAATGGAGAAGAAGGGATTGTGGTGTGGCCATCCACTCTGAGGGGGTGATTTCTCACTTTCTGTCTCTCTGTCTCTCCAGCGAGTGTACACACCCTATAGCAAAAATCTCTCTATAAAGAGAAAAACAAGCCAGGCCAAAGTACATGAGTTTGCAAAATCCTAAAAGGATGGGAAATAAAGGAAAAGATCATGACCACCTCTCATGGGGGCAATGTTTTCTCACTTTCCCATTTTCTCTCTTTCTGTGTCTCTCCAGGTTGCATACGTGCATTCCAAGAGGTTTGCTTTTGCTGGCATTTCAATATAAGTGGAGGTGGAGGAGAGTAGGGAGAAAATGAGGCTGGTGAGAACTGCTGGCCAACTTGAGCTTAAACTTTAACCTAGGGAGGCTGGCGGGTGGTGTGGTAGATAAGGTGCTAGACCCCCACATGGCTGACACAGTTCCAGTCCTAGACCTGGCAGCCTGCTTTCTAACTTTCCTGCTCTCTCTCTTTCTCTCTGTCCCTCTCTCTGGTCAGATTAAAAAATAATAATAAATAAAATTAAATACATAATCAAAAAATACTTTAACCTTAGGAAAGAATTTTAAGTGTGGTCAGACTTGCATTTTTAAAAGATCATCAGCTTCTCTTTAAAAAGATGTTGGGGGGCCAGCAAGTGGCATAGTGGTTAGGACTCCCACATGGCTGACTGTGGTTCAAGTCCTGGACCTCGTGGCTTGAAAATCATGCAGCGTGTGCATGTATGTGTCCAAGATCCCAGGAGAACATGGAGGAGGGATTGCGGCATGACCATTTCCCCTGGGAGGTGATTTCTCACTTTCCCTCTCACTGTCTCTGTCTCTCCAGTGAGCACACATGCCCTATGGCAAAAAACTCTAAAAAAAGAAAGAAGTTGGGAGAGTCTTCGGGAGACTATTGTAGTAACTACCTCACCATGGCAGCACTGAGCTGGCTGCTACCCACTGAGATGATTAGGGTACAAGTGGCACTGACAGGCAGCAAGCGGGTGACTAGGAGAAACAACTAGAGAGAAGGCACTATATAATTACTACGTAGAATTCGGTAACTGTGTGTGTGCACGCGTGGAAGAAGGTCACAAGGGGGAGAGTCAAGAGAGATGATAATATTGTCACCTAGTGATTTGGAATGGCAGGAGATGGAGCAGACTTGAAAGGTAAGAAATTAAAGTAGCATTTTCTGACTTTGGGTATCTGTAACAGGACATGCAGATAAAGACAACTAGAAGCAGCTGGAAGCAAGGGTCTAGTGCTCAGGAATGACGACTGAGATAGAGAACAGCCGTGGTATCAAAGATTAAACAACAAAATTTAAAATGTGTGTTGCCCTGCCAATATTTGAAACAGGTTAAAAACAAAATGAACAAACAAAAACACTATGAATAACTAGGCTACGAAAAAATTAAGTTAATACCTGAAATAAACAATGAAGAATTAAGTTTATACTTCAGTTGTCTTCATAAGAACCAAAACATAAAGTGTCTATTTTTTTTTTTTTCTTAGAGATTTTGCTATAGTGTGTGTGCTCGCTGGAGAGCCAGAGAAAGCCAGAAAGGGAGAAATCACCCACAGAGGACTCCATGGGAGTCCAGCGATGTAGCCATAACGCCATCTGCTGGTCCAGAAAGAGCCTATCTTGTAAGACGAGTTTAACAGCTGATGCTCTGAGTCTAGCCAGTGGTTAAGGCAGCTGGACTGCTCTGGTCCCAGGTGCCAGGCACGTGGGCCCGCCCAAACTGCGTGGCCACCCCCTGCCAGGAGTGGTTTCCCATGTTCCTTCTCTCCGTCCTTTCTCACTATAGCTCTCCAGCGAACCCGGTGCCCAATAGCAAATACTGAAAACCAACAAAACCCTGGTGCTCAGGGTGGAGGCCGGCCTGCCAGTCGGTCTCGTTGGGGGGGAGAGAGCACCTGTGGCCACGGGCAGCCACGCCCCCGCACCGCCACGCCCCCCGCCCAGCCCCGCCC